CTTGGTCGGGTATTCTGTGTTGTTGTTGGCGGAGCTCCTTTACTGCACTTCCACCTGATCCGCCATCTTGTTTGTTCTCTCCAATGAATATTCTTCTGTACCATTTACTTGCAGGTATGCTGTTTGCATGTGTTAAACTTAGAGTGTTCCGGAGTAGAGAGGGCTGTATTGGTCAGGAATTGCCAAAGTTTATTTTTTAAATCTAACAGTAAAAAATTGGCACATCAAGTTTTTTAAACATGGTAAAACTGTCATATTTGTAGGTCAAATGACCTAACATCAGCAATTTTTTTGGTGGGTCAACCCTTCATTTATAAATTACCTGCATGTATTTAACACATTCAAAACATGGAACTACATCAAGCTGAACCTGAAAATAAACATAAATCAACAATGTAATTCTGTCTTGCCTCGCCCCTTGGGTCCTCCCACACTTCTGCACCTCTTCTCCCTTGTGGACACAGGCCTGAGGAACAAGCAGCAGCATTAACCACCAACCTTGCCGCTAGCCCAAACCAAACTTGCAAATCTTGAAGCTCATAATAGCTCATTCTGATGCCAGTTTCCTACTCTTCAAAACAAGACTTCCTTCTAAGCAAATGGGATACACTCAATCGTGGGGTGTTCAACCTACTTGGCCAGTGGCCAATTTCTTAAACCACCCATGAGGCCCGAAGGTCTATGACCTACTCAGATCAGTCCAAAAGCCTTCAAAACCCACGCTCTCCCAACCACACTAGCCACATCCAACTTCATGAAACTTCCCTATAGTCCCTCCCTGACTTTCCCCAAATGACTTCGCTTTTTTATTTATGGTTTGTTTCTGCTCTCCATTTTCAACAAGTAGGATCTAATAGCATGGAAAGCACTTTGAGTTTAACTGGAACGAACTCTCTTCTCAGACCCATGGAAGAGCATCCTTGAGACTCCCCATGAAGCACTGGGCAGGCACAGAGGCATTCTAAGGCATTTTTAAAACTGATATAACTACCAAAAGGAGCAAAGGAAGCCCCATTCCCATTTTAGCGATGAGCAGGTTGAAGTACACAGAAACAAATTTACCCAGTGTCATAAGTAAACTGGGATTGGTATGGCTCTCTTGGCAACCCCACCCACCAATCCCACTGTGAATTACAAAAGGACATGTCATGGGAGTCACCTTCTTGAGATTTGTAAAGTTCTTTAAACCAATTCATTTTTAGTCCTCAAGACATGAAGCAAAGTACTGAAGCAAAGGCAACCCAGTAAAGGTATGCCCAGAGGGACACCTCGGCAGTGGTCCTGACAGTCTACCCAATTCAGGGATCACCGAGGGGGGACTACTGCAGTGGAAGGATGCAGGCCCCCGGGACACTTTCCCTACAGCTGCTACTGATGGGCACCAGAAAGGCAACTGCCATCTAAAGTAAGGTGAGCTCATCAAGGTCATTACCTCGGCTTCGTTTAGTGAGGCAGTTTTAATTTATAACCAAACAAGTTACAAATCTCACAAGCATAGTAGGCCGGGAATCCCTTGATATTTTTTAAATCACCCCACTGCAGGGATCCTAAGTGATCTCCCAGTATCTCCAGTATACCTAATAAATGACTCAACTTTACAGAAAAAATAAGTGTAAGGTAAGCAGCCTGTCTCTAACCAAAATTACATAGATACACTTTCATACCTTTTTAAACATACTATTCAAGGAGCTCTGGTAGCGTAGTGGTTACGAATCGGGCTGCGAACCACAAGGTCAGCAGTTCAAAACTACCAGCTGTTCTGTGGGAGACAGATGAGGCTTTCTGATCCTGTGAAGATTTACAGCCTCGGAAACCCTGTACAGGGTTGCTAAGAGTCGGAACCGACTCCATGGCACATAACAACAACAACATTCATAGATCTCAGACTCCTGGGGTGGCACTGTAGGATCAGCACTGGACTGCTAACCACAAGGTCAACAGTTCAAACCCACCAGCTGCTCCTTGGAAACCCAATATAGGGTCGCTAGGAGTCAAACCGACTCAGCAGCACTAATAGCAGCATTAATACATCTCAGAGTCCGGGTGTGGCACTGCAAAGTAGGTATGAACCTCAAGGTCATCGATTCAAGTTCACCAGCTACTTCTCAGACACCCTATGGGTTGAAACCAACTTGATGGCACTTAACAACAATAATGAATATATCTCAGGACTTCTGGTGTGGTGCTGTAGGATCAACATTGGACTGTAAACCCCAAGGTCAGCAATTGAAACCCACCAGAAACCCTGTACAGGGTTCTTATGAGTCAGAACCGATTTGACAGCTTTTAACAGCAACAGCACTAACATATCTCTAGGAAACTATGAGAGTCATAAATATAGAAAGGTTTTCTTAAGTTAAGGAAATTGTAGGCATCTTAGCTCCCCATCCCCAAAAAAGAAGGCAAACTGACAAAGAAAGGTACACATACGCTTTGGGTTCCCACTGCATTTTGGTTTTTTTTTGGTTCCCACTTTTTGTTTTGTTTTTTTATAACAAGCTATTTCCCTAAACATGCTGATACTGAGTTCTGCCACCAAAGACATCTACATAGCCACAGAGTTGGTAAAAACAATTTAATTTTTTAAATCTGAGAACAAGAGTAATGAAGCTAATGAGCTACTGACAAGGCAAACTTATTTAGACAATGAGCTGCCAGCCGTAACAAGCTCTACCAGTATGATCACAAATGAAACATTTTTCCTAACAAAGAGCCGGGTGTAAGTAAAGGACGATGACTACTTGTAGAGTCAAAGGGAATGCAAAGCCCTAAACTTACCCCTTGGACTAATTTACAGCATAGGCTTTCAATCCATTCCCTGATGCAGTGAGTGGCTGACCACTTGGCTTCACATCCGAATCTCGTGGAATTTTTTAAAAGAAAATCCCAAGAACTAGACTGTACTCCAGCCTGTCTCCTGGAAGGAGTTTTTTAGGATTCTCTGGAGATTCCAGAGTACAACCAAGGTAAATCACTGCTGCGTTAGAGGCACGTAACAATGACACCAGCAGGTCCCTGCACCTGATAACCCTACAAAGGAACAGAGGTCTGTGGGGTACTTCACTCGGCTCAAGAAATCTGTACACATTAGCTTCAGGTGCAGTTTTGAGCCTTTCCATACATGATTTTTAGAGCAATACTGAATCAGACAAATACTAGCAAAGAGAGGAAAGGTGAAAAAAATAAATTTCCATGA